GCACCAGCAGCCAGGAAATTAAAAGGCGCATTGCCATGGGAAAGTCTGCTGTTAGGGACCTCTCCAAAGTGCTGAAGAGCAGCGGTGTCTCTCTGGAGACTAAGGTGCGTCTGATACAGGCCATGGTCTTCGCAATCACTTGTTATGCATCAGAGAGTTGGAAAATGACCAAGGAGGATAGAAGGAGAGTTGATGCCTTTGAGCTGTGGTGCTGGAGAAGAGTACTGAGAATACCATGGACTGCTAGGAAAACAGAGATTTGTCCTGGAAAGGGTTAACCTGGTGGCTCCTTGAAGGCAAGGATTCTGAGGCTCTGTCTAACATACTTTGGACATGTTGTGAGGAGAGATAGGTCCTTAGAGAAGGACATCATGCTTGGGAGGGTGGAGGGACAGCGCAGGAGGGGAAGGACCTCTATGAAGTGGATTTATTCAGTGACTGGAATAATCGGGATGGGAGTGTCAGAGACAGTGCAATTGGCACAGGACAGAGCAGAGTTTAGGGCTGTTGTACATAGGGTCGCTATGAGTCGCAAGTGACTCGATGGCACATAACAACAACAGTAAAAAAACCCACCCTGATCCACAGGTGACCCTCCAGCAGCTTTTCCAGAAGCAATAAACTGCACAGGAAGAGACTGTCCCTCTTTTTCCCGCACGGAGGAATTGAACTGCACACCTTTGTGCTGGCATCGCATTTCTTTACCACTACTTGCAGAAGTTCCTCTAAATAACTGGATTTGGTTAGCTCATTCATGATTTTCTTTCTTCCCACAGACAGGGTTTACCATATTTTTATATTTGTTAGAAAATTTTTGTCCCAATGCTAAGAGTGGAAATAATAAATAGTACATTAAGAACTAAATAACTAATTAACTAAACTAGTCCTCCAGTGATAATGTAAAAATTTCAAAACCCATATATTACCTGCAATATGTCTCTATGTCGCTGTAATGTATGCATCAATGCAGCATTCAAGGAGGGGACACCTGCACTGTTGGTATATTCTGCCATTTTATCATTTACTCCGGTAAGCTTGGGGAAAAATAACCAAGCAAAAACAAGAGAGTCAGTAACAAAAAATACATTTCAAAGTACTACACTGCATACCATTCACCAATGTCAAGTCAACTCCAACTTAGAGACCTTACAGGACAGAGAGTACAAGTGCCCAATAGGGTTTCTGAGGTTCTCTCTTTATGAGAGTGATTGCTTGATTTTTCTCCTCTGGCATAAGTGATGGATTCAAACTAACAATCTTCTGGACAGCATCCCAATGCTTGGATTAAGCATTAATTAATTAATGGCATTAATTAATCCACCATGCCACAAGGTTCCTTGGAAAGTCATGCTAAACATCTAAAAGCACATGTTTTGGCTTGTATGCCCTTCTACTAGATACTAAAGAGAAAACTACTCAGGAAGACATGCAGAAGGCAAGGATTCAGTATTTCTCTCAAATAATCCATAAAGGTTAAAATAATACCAATAGGACCTCTGAATAGCTGTCATAAAAAATGAGGTGGTCCAGTGAGGCACATACTTTAAATGGATGGATGATTTCAGCAAGCTTGACTAAAAGTACAGTTATCAACCATTTAACAGCAAGCACTTACCCTTGCCAAAAGTTGTTCAATCTCAATTGCCATTGTTTCAAACATTCTGTCTTGGCTTGATCCATTTAAAAGTGGTGTTGTATCAGAACTAAAGAGAAATTCAATAAAGGGAATCCATTACTGAGTTCTAATCCTTTAAAGTATAATTAATAAATTAACTCTTCTTGAACAGGTCAAGTGGAACATTCTCTTTTTCCTTGTAACTTTTACAGAAGTTTTTCCTATAAATCCACATATATCCTCTAATATTAAGCTGCACATAAAATGGAATCTTTTAATGAAAGATTTCTCCAAGCTATAATACCTTACTAACTTAGAAAAATTTAAAATGCTTATTTATTATTTCCCAAATGATAAGAAAATAACTTACATTACTATGAAAGTGTCCAATTAAAAACTCTAGTAACGAACAGTATAGAGCGATGAAGAACAGTGTATAGGCTTTGGGGCTTATGAAGAACAATTTTTTTTTTTTACTTCAAAGTAATTATGGTTTCTTACACTTAAAGTCTACCAGCTGCTCCACAGGAAAAAGATGGGCACTCTCCTCATGTGCAATTTACTGCCTCTGAAAACCCACTGAAATCTCAACTATGAGTCAGTTCCAACTCAAAAATACATGAGACTTAAAAAAGAAATTCTTGCTTCTTTCCTTGATTCTTACCAAGAAACCACTGATGAGGTTTAAACGATCTAGAGTTTGGAAGCACATTTATTGAATAATCAGGAGTTTGCTTTAACACTAATATAAATAGTCTTATATGGCAGAAGAGTTTTAGTATCAAAACCTCTATAGTTCCACTAATGCTATGTAATCTCAGTTATGTTTTGAAAGAAAAAAAAATTACTGAACTTTCAAGATCGGAATAGTAAAAAAAAAATAAATAAAAATCTAACTTTCGACAAGTGTCTCTTATTTGTGATAGAGCCAAGTTCTGAAACTCTATTCTATGTCCTGAAGGTTTCTTTTGCCCCTTATGAAAATCATTAGCCTTCATCAGTCCCGCATCAGTCTCTAGGTGGGAACGAGAGCAGCTCTATTAGCAAGTGAGCATCTCGGTGTTGATCTGCCTTTTACAAATCTCACTGATGTAGAGCTGGAAGCCCACTAGGTTTCTGAGGTTATAAACTACCTAGGAGAAGCCTGTCCACCTTTCTCCCACAGAACAGCGGGTGAATTTTAACTGCTAAAGACATGTGGCCTTCGGGTTGGGGCAAAACTCCCTATATCACACCAAGACTAGGATTCATTAGCTTTATATTGCTGTTGCTATGTGCCCCTGAGTTGGAACCGACCCATAGCTGCCTCTCCAGCAGGATTTTAGAAGCTGTAAATCATATGGGAAGAGACTGCCCATCTTTCTCTCACAGAGCAGCTGCTGTGCGAGAACAGCATGCCTTTGGGTTGGCAGTGCAACTCTATACCACTAGACCACCAAAGCTTCCTAATACTAGCTTTATACTAGACTCAGCTAAATACCCAGGCAATGACTCTGTTCTCCAATGTTACTGAAGACTTTGTCCTGCCCTCTGATAATCCTTGGGCATGGCAGATGAAAGAGATTAATTCATTAGTTCAAAATAAAAAAGTACCTTAGCTACTACATTTTCCTCCTTCACATATGTATCTACAGCAAGAGCAACAAGCTGTGGAAAAACAAAAAGCTAAAGAAGAGATTTAAAAAAATTTAGATCTAACTAGATTGAAATATTAATTTTTGAAACATTCTCATTATTTGCCCTAAACTATGATTTATAAACATTTAATTCTTTAGTATTTGTCAGAACCAACACAAAGTTCTGCAGCTGTCTACAAAAAAATGGCCTGGCAAAAAATGCTTTCCTAGAACTAATTCTCCCTTCCCATAAGAAAAATAGCAATGTACCAATAGAATATAAGATCCACAGGGACAGAAACAGGCATGTCTTACTCACTGATGTGGGGCTAGCACCTAACAAAATACACATGACAGGTGTTCATTAAATAATTGCTGACTGAATGAATGAATGAGGTAACAATCTCTAATGCCAGTTACTCCCATATTCACTAGACATTCTCAGAAAAAGTGAAATCAGGGAGACTTAAATAAAAAAAAATATTTTCCGATCATAACTAAGTTTATCAGTACAGAAAAAAGTCTCTGTTGTCTTTATTTGCCAAGTAAAGATGAGACTCAAATGGTGCCTGTAACAAAATTTTACATTTCAGGCCACATGAGTCAATACGGTGGCCCTGCTACTATTAAAGAGAAGTCACATACACACAAGTAACTCTTGGCTATAGAAGAAGACCCCCAAGTCAATATGTTGGCCCTGCTACTACTAAAAAGGAGTCAGCCTCTGTCAGTCTCCCCACCCCCTCGACCCCCCAACACACAACACTTGGCTATACAGGAAGATCCCACGTGAGATGGACTGACTTGGTAATGTGATTAAGTGTGTCGGAATCAGTAAGGCTGGCTCAGGATAGGAGAGCAAGGTTCAGAGCTATTGTACATAGGGTCACTATGAGTCATAGGGACTCAATGGCACACAACAACAAAGAGTCTTTTTTTTGCCTTTTGCTGGAATGTGCATAATACAGTGGGATGTGGCTTTGGAGACAGACACAGGATCAAATCCAAGTTCAGTTTTTTTTGTCTTTTTAATTAGCTGAAAAATACCCCACCTATCAGCAATCCTTGAACAATATGTAAAATAAAAAGCAGGTAACAATAAAAACTCTCTAGGTATAAAGAAATATTCTGTGAAATATTTTCCCCTGTAGCACTTACGTAAAGCTTCTTAGTATCTATGGGATAAATGATGAGCATTATGAGCCAGGTATTAAAATTATTACTACTATTGGTGGTGGTGTTACACACTGTCCCGTAGGAAATGATTCATAGTTGACCCTCTGGCAGATTTTCAGAGGCTTTAAATCACACAGGAGGAGACTGTCTCTTTCTTTCTCAGAGTACCTGGTGAATTTGGGTTGCCCATGTGCCACTGGGTTGAAAGTACAACTCAAGTCACCACAGCTCTCTACTGTTATTAATTAGCTAAAAATGAAAAACAATATCCATTCACAAAATGCAAAAACTGTGATAATCATGTAACATAATATTTATGCAAGAAATTAATATGTCAGAGTTAGACATGCCCACAGCTCAATCTTAATATTGACCAAAAAGGCAAGCTGCAAAATAGCTAAGGTGGGATCCTCTGAATTGTTTAGGAATACAAAATATGTAGTAAAAATACATGAAGATCATGGGAGGGAGGCCATCAGGGCAGGGCCTGCATGTGAATTGGTAACAATTTTTTTTAAGTGGAGGAAAGTTCCACAGGGGATCATTATATTATTCTTTATACATTTCCAGTGTTTTACAAATTTTATATTATTTTAAGTAGATGGTCAAAAATAAGCATAAAATTAAAACATAAAATGATCTTTTCCACATGTTTAGGCAAGTGGGATTATGGATTTTTCAAAAAATAACCAAAATTAAAAGCGGCTTAGATGATGTAAAACAACAACAGCATATATATAGTCTGCATTTTGATAATTTCGTATTTTCCCTGAGCAACCAGAAAACATAAGGAAGACAACATGGTTAAATCTACCATCTTTTTTTAAAGTGACAGAACTGGAAACTCTCACTTCTAGAAACAAACTCATTGTTAACATCTAGTATTACCCTGCTGACACTGATGTAATTTTTGCTCAGGAAATAAAAATAAATGCTAATCTCAAGAATTAATAAAGTCAGATGCACACCCTTGTTTATTGCTGCTTTGTTCACAATAGCAAAGAGTTGGGAACAACCCAAGTACCCTTCAACAAAAGAATGGATAGAGAAACTGTGGTTTATTCACACAATGGAATACAATGCTGCACTGAAAAATAAGGAATTAATGAAATATTATACAAATTGGGTGGGCATTACTCTGAGTGAAATATCTCAGTCACAAAAAGAAAAATATTGCCTAGTGCCACTGTGGTAAAACAGAACTGACATCAGGGTTGGGGGGAACTTAAGAAAAGAGGGGATAAATAATGTATACTGCATTAAAACAGATGAGGGAGAGAACTGTTTAAACGGAATATATGATTAGGCACTGTTTTCATGACAACAGTCCAGAATAAGAGCTGCATAGTAAAGTGGACTTGGGGTGGGGGTGGGAAGGATTGCATAACAAAGAGGTGGGTTTTTTTTCTTCAGAGACAAAAGAGAACTGAGGGGAGGGGTGGGTAAGGAGGAAAGTGTGCAACAGTGTATGAATGGAAATCCAAAGTCTATGTAAACTTTCATTAAAATAAAAAAGGAATAAAATAAATTAAAAAAAAACACAACTCCACAAACCACCAGTGATGAAAAATAACCAGCTACAATTCACCAAAAAGACCAAACTACAAAAGTTAAATATTTTTTCATTATTTTTAATGCTTTTAAAAATATTATATAGGTTTAGGTATAAGAGAATCTGGTAGTACCTATACCTGTCGCGTCTTCCGTCTCGAGCGCTGTTGTGACTGTAACTGGTACACAATTTACTAAAAGAAACTAGTTTCAGGTCAAGTTCATTCTCCAGCTGTCGAGCTTGTTTCCTGAGATCTTTAGTAAAGTATAAAAGCAAGTAATTAGACACAGAATTCATCAACAGACATGTAAATAACAAAATTATTCTAAAGAAAACAAACCACGAAAATGATAAATTTTTAGTCCAGTTTCTCCATAACGAAAAATGTCAAAAGAAACTAAAGCCAGAGAAAGAAAACTAGGTTATTTATTTAAACTTGAAACAGGGTAGGAAAGGAGAAGCAATACAAGACCCCTCCAAAATTGTAAAAAGAGAATATACAAACAGGAAAAAAGTGTTTAAAATAACTGTCCGACAAGGGACTCATCTCTAAAATTTCTAGAAAACCCCAACATGAAGACAAACAATCCGAATTACCAACTGGACAAAGGACATGAAAAAAGACTTCATCAAAGAGGACATTGTGAATGACCAATAAACACATGAATTCTTAAGATCATGAGCTATTAGAAATGCAAGTCTAAACAGTGAGATAGCATCTTCTAGCAACAATAGCAAAGTTCAATGTTGTTGCTGTTATGTGCCGTCGAGTTGTTTGTGATTCATAGCGACCCTATGTACAACAATCCTAAACCCTGCTCTATCCTGTGCCAATCGCACTGCCTCTGACACACCCATCCTGATTACCCCAGTCACTGAATCAATCCATCTCATAGAGGGTCTTCCCCTCTTACGCCATCCCTCCACCCTCCCAAGCATGATGTCCCTCTCCAAGGACCTGTCCCTCCTTGCAACATGCCCAAAGTATGTCAGACGAAGCCCCAGAGTCCTTGCCTCCAAGGAGTTGCTTGGTTTAATTCTCTCCAGGATGAACCTGTTTGTTTTCTTTCCATGGTACATTCAATACTCTTCTCCAGCACCACAGCTCTAAGGCATCAATTATCCTTCTGTCCTCCCTAGTCATTGTCCAACTCTCTGATGCATAACAAGTGATTGCGAAGACCATGGCCTGTATCAGGAGCACCTTAGTCTCCAGAGAGACACCGCTGCTCTTGAGTACTTTAGAGAGGTCCCTAACAGCAGACTTTCCCATTGCAATACGTTTTTTGATTTCCTGACTGCTAGTGCCAAGAGTGTTGACCATGGATCCGAGCAAACTGAAGCTGTGAACAATCTCAATCTCTTCGCCATCTATCCTGATGCTACCAATTGGTCCAGTGGTGAGAATCTTTGTCTTCTTGACATAGAGCCTCAGTCCATACTGAAGGCTGTAGTCCTTGACCCTCTGTAGCAAGTGCATGAGGTCCTCCTCAGTTTCAGCAAGCAGGGTTGTGTCATCTGCATAATGCAGATTGTTAATAGATCTTCCACCAATCCTGATGCCACAATTCTCCTCATAGAGCCCAGCCTCCCAGATAATCTGCTCTGCATACAGGTTGAAAAGGTATGGAGACAGGACACATCCCTGGCGTACACCCTTCCCAATTTTGAACCATGCAGTGTTACCCTGCTCTGGTCTGACAACTGCCTCTTGGTCCAAGTATAGGTTTCGTATTAGCTCAATTAAATGTTCTGGGATTCCCATTCTTCTCAGAGTCAGCCACAGTTTGTTATGATCCACACAGTCAAACGCCTTTGCATAATCAATGAAACATAGATAGACATTCTTCTGGTATTCCCTGCTTTCAGCTAAGATCCATCTAGCATCTGCTACAATATCCCTAGTACCACGACCCCTTCTAAACCTGCCTGGACTTCTGGCAGTTCTCTGCTGATGTGCTGTTCCAGTCATTTTTGGATAATCTTCAGTAGAATCTTGCTTGCATGTGAAATCAATGATACTGTTCTGTAGTTTCCACACAAATGCTGTCAAGAGTGTAGGGAGACTGGAACTCTCTTACACTACCAGTAGTACAACCACTATGGAAAGCAGTTTGCACTTCCTTAAAAAGGTAAAGGTGGAAGTGCGGCAATCTCACAACTAGACATATATTCTAAGGAAATAAGAGCTGCAACACTAACTGATGCATACATATTCATATTTACTGCTATATGGTTTACAGCAGCAAAGGTATAGAAACAACCCAAGCTTCTATCAGTAGACATGAGGCAAAGGTCACACAATGGAGTACTTACTGTTCAACTCTAAAAAATACAGAATTCAAGAAACACTGCATAATAACATGAATGAATCCAGAACAACTGAGTGGCATAAGTCAGTTATAATTATTATATAAAACCACTATTCTAAAAAGTTAAGGTTTACAAATAAAATCAGTTTTTTATAAATAAAAAAAAATTATTTTATACTAGAGGAGGCTGCCCCTCCTTCTCTAGCAGAGCACTTGGTGGATTTGAGCCACAAGCCTTCAGGATTGCAGTGTGGCTTCTTGCCACTAAACCAAGAGAGCTGCACCTCCCACCTTCCCCCTGCCAATCATTCTTGCATAGCTACCAGAGATGGGAAGGGAGGGAAATGGGAGTACTCATTAACAAGTAATATATTAACTTAGGTGATGGGAAAGGTAGTGTAAGTAAGATGCTGGTCAAACACTGTAAAAGCACTGTTTTATAAAACAAAATATGTATAAATGACTGACTGCAATCCAATATGATTTGTAAAGTTTCATTCAAATCACAAATAACTTTTTTTTAATAATTTTATACTGGTTTACTTGACAAGTTCATATACATTGTTCTTCACACCTGATCTTTCCCATTTCCTTTACCCAACCATCAAAATGTGTAACCCTATGACCACTCCCCTGCCCATCCTCATCCCTCTGCTCCTACCCTCCCCACCTTGGTCAATAATTTAAAAAAAAATTATAAAGTCTCCAAATAGAACTGTTTTGTTTTAGATTTGAATGTTATGCATGCATACATGAATATTTAAAATATTAAAAACTAATTATACTTTAAATATTGACAATCCTATTTAACTTTCTGGTATAAAACTTAGTAACTCAAAATTCTGGTTCTTTCAGTGTTCTGAAATTATAAAAAGGGAAAAAGTAATTTTCAAGTTGGAAATATACTACTTTTCAATATGCTTACTGAAAGACACTCTAGAAACTAATTTAGATGACTGTTTTCATTCACAGTGTGTGTTACCGTTACCAACTTACAGCTGACCCTCCAGCATGTTTTCAGAGTCAATCTAACTACATAGGAGGGATTGCTCATCTTTCTCCCACAGAGCAGCTGGTGGATTTGAACCATCGGCCTTTGGGTAGGCAGTATAACTTCATATAAATAAGCCATATGGGTTAAAGTAAAAAGAGCTGAATATAGGAACAAACAGTGTAAGAATCTCACCTTTCAGGAATAAGGACACAAAACATTATTTCAATATATTTAGCATCAGAAGTAGACAGCGGAAAAATACAATGGAGCACATGCCTGCCTACTGACTAAATCACAGACTCTCAGCTTAACCAATTATTGGCTGAGATTTGTTGGCAACTTATTTCACCTGTGAACCTGAGCTTTTAATCTTTTAAACCTAAATTTTCCAAGTTTTCATCTTGTTGTGTGTTGTTGAGTTGAAATCGACTCATGGCTGACCCTCCAGTGGGTTTTCAAAGGCTTTAAAACATGGTAGGAGAATGTCTATCTTTCTCCTAGGGAGCAGCTGGTGGATTCAAACCAATCTCTTTGGTACTGCAACACAGTTTCTTATGACTAGGCCAGGAGAGGTCCCTCCATTCACATTTATTTATTTATTTATTTATTTTTAGATTTTACAGTTTTATTAATTTGGCAGCATAGTTTCTTATAGCTAGGCCACCAGAGCACCATACTATTTAGCAAAAAATTAGAAACAATATCCATTCATGTTGTTGTTGTTGTTCAGTGTGGTCTGGTCGGAACTGACTCATAGCTGACCCTCCAGTGAGTTTTCAAATGCAGTAAATCTCATGGGAGGAGTCTGCCCATCCGTCTCTCATGGTACAGCTGGAGGATTCAAACCACGCATCTTCAGGATTGCAGTACAGCTTCTTATCACTAGGTCACCAGAGGTTCTTCCATTCACATCAGTAATTAGCACTACGTGCTTAAAGTGTCTGACAAGAGTAGATAGATTGTCAATAATAAGCAGCTCTGGTAACTAAGTGGTAAGGACTTGCACGGTCAACCCAAACGCACATGGATTTGAATCCACCAGGTGTTCCACGGGAGAAAGATGGGCAATCTCCACACCTGTGATTGATTTACGACCTCTGAAAATGTGCTAGAAGGTCAGCCATGAGTCTGACAGTTCCATCTCAACAGTACATTAGAACAACAACAACAACATAGTTATTATAGCATGATGCTCCCAAAACCTACATTCTAGTGACTAGTATTAAAAGGAGCTCTGGTAGCCTAGTGTTTGTTGACTGATGCCTTTGAGTTGGAGAAGAACATTGAATATCCCATGGATTGCCAAAAGAACAAACTAATGTGTTTTGGAAAAAGTGCAGTCAGAATGCTTTTTAGAGGCAAGAAAGGTGAAGCTTCATCTGTCATACTTTGGACATGTGGTTAGCACAGCTATTCCTTGGAAAGGGACATTATGCTTGCAAAGGTGGAGAGTCAGTAAAAGAGAAGAAGACCCTCGACAAGAAAGGTTGACACAGTGACTGTAGCAATGGGCTCAAGTGTGTTAGAGATGAAGACGGCACAGGAAACTGCAGATCTGCTGTTCGTAGTATTTGACTCAACAGCACCTAACAAATGTTAGCTTAGTGGTGATGAGTTGTACGGCCAACCCAAAGGCAAGCAGTCTGAATCCATAAACTGCTCCACAGAAGAGAAATGGGCAATCTTTTCACCTGTGATATACTGCCTCTGAAAAACCACTGGAAAGTCTGCTATGGGTCAGTTGCGACTCCACAGTACATAACAATAATAATAGTACTAAAGAGCTCTGGTGGCCTACTGGGTAAGGAGTTGTCCTACCAACTTCCAAAGGAAAATTACTGGAACCCACCAATCACTAGGCGGGAGAGAGATGAGCAGTCTCTTTCCATGTGATTTCCAGTCTTTGAAAACATACTGGGTCAGCTATGAGGCAGTTCCTACTTGATGTCACATAAGCAGTATTAAAGACCCCACTTCTACAATAATCTGAAATTACTAATTGCAAAATGTTTTTGAGTTAATGCTCACTTTCAAAATAGCACTTGAATACATGTTTAAAAACTGTAAGTAGGCTTGTCTGCAATTTCTCTAATGAGAAGTAAAATATATTTTAAAGAAGAACTTGGAATGAGATTTCTTGGACCAAGTGGCTAAGCGTTTTTTGTTTTTTAAAAAGTGTGATTACTTTTTTTAGGTATATGAACACACACATGAAATTGTGGTAGTTTCCAAAGTTTCACTGAGGAGCAATAGGCAAAAGGGCAAAATGAGAAAGTGATTCAGAAAGTGGTTTTAACGTTGCAGAACCGCAAAGAGGCAGCTGAAAAGAAAAAGGGAGACTTGTCTGGGTTTTGTTGATCATCATGGTCTAGGAACGACTTTCACGTGAACCCGCTCTGTCGGACGATATTTTCAGGAATTATACAAACGCACTTGTCAGGTCACACTGGTTTCTTTTAACTTTCTCTTCTGAACAAATCCTACGCTAAACAGGAAGTTACTTCCCTCAAACACGAAACGACAATTTCTCGAAATCACTGCTATAAGGAGCAGAGAACACAGCAGGAACTGTATCCTTCCCCCGCCCATAGACCTGGTTGACAAGTTTCCCTGTCCTAGGTCCTTTCCATTTTCCTACTCAAGTTTTCCAACAGTGACCTTATATGCAAGTCACAGATTCCTAGCGTCTGTCCAGCTCGGGACCTTCTCGCTCAACATCCGTTTCCTCTCACAGATCGGACCCCAAACCCCTAAATCCGAGTTCGGCTGTTCCCTCAAGCCAGCTCTCTTTCAGTGACTCAGTCCTCCTTCCACCTTCTCTGCCCAAGCCATGCCCCGGGTCCCGCTCCCCTGACGGGTCAGGGGTTGCTGTCTCCGAGGCCAGCCCCCTGCCCGGAACGTCCAGTCTACTCGGCGCCCAGGTCCCCAGGCTCCGACCCGACAAGCCCCGCCCCGCACTCGTCCGCCCCGCAGGCCCGACTCCTTCCCCCGAGGCCTGTCCTCACTCGACACCCCTAACTCTCGGCGGGACCCACCCAGAGGCCCCACTCTCACCTTCCCAGTAATTGCTGGTTCCCGCCGCCATTTTTGTTGTCCAACGTCAGTCCGGACAGGAGCATAGAGTCAATGCGAGCCAGAGGGCCCCCTCCACACCCTCTTCCGCCCTGGGCCCCGGGGCCTATGGGATATGTGAGCCTCCTCAGACACCGCCACCTGGAGGTGACTTCATCGTTGCAGTTTTGACTAGTTGGGAGGCTGAAATGTAGCTTTTAGAAATGATGCTTCCAGAACATGTTCTTTCTGGTGTTCATATCCGTGCTTGGCACTGCAAACCTTCCCCATAACCCTCGATCCATCTGATTCTGTCTCCCACAAGGTGTTTATTTGTTTAAGAAGTTATTTAGTCTCAGAGGGAATTCCTTCAACTTCCCAGCCCTTTTCCCATGTAAGTCTTCAGCCAAACTCCTTTCCTTTCCTTCTCGGTGCCAAGGATGCTTTTCTTCTCAAGGCCAACCCCTCCATCTTTATCTCTGCTTGTGCTTTATCATCCACTATTTCTGGCATGTTCTTGTTGTTATGTGCTGTCGAGTAGCTTGCAACTCAGCGACCTTATGTACAACAGCTCTCAACCCTCCTTTATCTTGAGCCAATTTCATTCTCTCTGACACACCTATCCTCATTACCTCATTCATGGAGTCAATCCATCTCATCCAGGGTCTTCCTCTCTTGTGCTGACCCTCCACCCTTCCTTCTCCTTGCGACATGCCCAAAGTATGTCAAATGGAGCTTCAAAATCATTGCCTCCCAGGAATAGCCTGGTTTCACCCTCCCCAGCACAGACCAGTTTGTTCTCTTTGCAGTACATGGTATATTCAATACTATTCTCCCCCTCAAAGGCATAGATTTTTCTTCTATCATCCTAGCAAGTAATTGTGAAGACCATGGCCTGGATCAGATGCACCCTAGTCTTTACACTGATATCATTGCTCTTCATTATTCTGGGGAGGTCTCTGACAGCCGATTTTCCCAATGCAGTTTGTCTTTTGATTTCCCGGCTGCTGGTACCAAGAGGGTTGGTTGTGGAGCCAAGCAACAGCCGAAGTTGTTAACAGTCTCAATCTGTTCTTCATCATGATGCTGTCAATTGGCCCAGTGATGAGAGAATCTTTGTTTTCTTGATGTTGAGCTTTAATCCATATTGAAGGCTGCAGTCCTTGACCTTTTGGAGTAAATGCCTCAGGTCCTCCTGAGTTTTGGCAAGCAAGGCTGTGTCACCTGCCTAATGTAGGCTGTCCACTGACTGTTTTTCTACTCATAGTAGTTACACTTACAGACGTCTTTTGCCTTCCAGTCACCAAATAGAAACTGTTGTTGTTAGGTGCCAATGACCAACTCTGACTGATAGTTGTCCTATGCATACCAGAATGAAGCGCAGCTGGTCCTGTGCCATCTTCACAATTGTTGCTATGCTTGAGCCTGGCCTTGAGTGGCTCATCATCCGGGACTGCATCAGACAATGTCATGCTGCTAATCATAAGGTTTTCACTCAACAGAACAATTCATTACTGTCAAATCGGAATCCATAACTAAGCTAGTGATTTTCAGAGGCTGTAAATCACACAGCTTGCTGGAGCCACTACTTGATTTGGACTCTCAGCCTTTGCATTAGCAGCAAAACTCCCCACCCGAGCTCTCTAATGTTTTCACTAGTCAATCTTTTCATTATTAGATCATCAGAGTTTTCTTCCCAGTCTGCCTTAGTCTGGAACCCGTCCATCACCAGTGGCCCTGCTGGCGTTTGTTATACTGAGGGCCCAGCTTCAAGCATCACAGCAACATACAAATCACTACGGCATGACAAACCAACAGGCAAGTGGTGGGATAGAAGTGTTGCCTCCTATAAAGTTCTTTCGCTGTTAGCCTAGTCATTATTTTGTTGTCAAGTCACTTACAACTCATGACACTCCTGTGTACACAGTAAAGCTGCTCTAGATGACTTTCAAGGGTGGAAGCTGTCTGAAATATATTTTCCAGCCTTGACTTTCAATGTTCTTTCTTGCTGGTGTTTCAAGATCTCATTTCCTTTCTGGTTAAAGAACTCCCTTTGGCCATTCTTTGAAAGTAGGTCATTGTTGTTATGTGCCATTGAGTTGCCTGTGACTCATAGTGACCCAAGCCAAAGGTGGGTGACTCTAATCCATAGCCCTAAGGCCTGTTTTTTCATTGTTTTTGTTCAAACAGTCTTCTAGGTCATATAGCCCTGGTGTGTCCACTTGCCAGACAGAGGTAACTTGTGACTGCTGTGAAGCTGAACACTGTGACACTGATGTGTCAAATGCGATAACAGTTACTCATGGTAGACAGTGTTTGGTGGTGCTCCCTGGTTGAAACAAGCTTGGAAGCAGGAGTGGCAACCACTTCCGTAAATAGCTTGCCTCCGGAAACCCTATGAACCTGGAGAAAGGATGAAAGTCACACAAGTGTCAAGGACTTTCGTTCATAGGGTTGCTATGAGTCATCTACAACTCAACGGCACTTAACAACAACAACAACATAGTGACCCTATGTACAACAGCCCTAAACCCTGCTCTATCTTGTGCCAATCTTACTGTCTCTGATACACCTGCCACCATCATCCCAGTTACTGAATCAATCCATCTCATCAAGGATCTTCCTCTCCTGCATTGTCCCTCCACCCTCCCAAGCAAGATGTCCCTCTCCAAGGACTGGTCCCTCCTTGCAATATGTCCAAGTGTATCAGATGAAGCTTCAGAATCCTTGTCTGCAAGGAGCAGCCTGGTTTCACCAGTTTGTGATAAATTGTTTCATCTTTTTCCTCTGAAAAGTCTGGATTTTCACTCCTAAAAAAAAACAACTTTTCATCAGATATAGAATTTAGGGTTGATAATTTCTTTATTCAGTGTTTGAAAAATGTGTCATTCCCTTCTGGCCTTTATAGTTTCACCTCTCCTAACAACTTGCTCAAAGTATGTAACACAAAATTTTATCATTCTTGCCTCTAAGGACCACTTTCTCCAGGAGAGACATAATTGTTTGTTCTTTTGGTGGTGCATGAGATATTCAACACTTAGTCATTATGAACTATAGGGTTCAATATGTGGTGCCTCTGAAGTGTTTCACTGATGCGTAAGCAGGATGGCCTTATTAAAAGCCATGGATTCTCACCTTTTTTAGCACTACCAGTACAGGCTGAACACTGTGACACTGATGTGTCAAATGTGTTAATGGTTGGTTACCCAATGGGGACAGAGAGTGGGGTGGAGCTCCCCGATTAAAACAATCTTGGAAGGAGGAGTGGCATCCACTTCCGTAATAGCTTGCCTCTGGAAACCCTATGAACCTAAGCGTCGAGGACTCTCCTTCATAGGGTCACTATGAGTCGCCTACGACTCCACGGCACTTAACAACAACCAGTACAGGAGTCTTCTTGCCTGGTTTGTAAGTCATTCAGGAATGGATTATCTTTGTTACGTTAATGAGACATGACTAGTGTATTGTCATTGTTGTGAAGTGCTGTGGAGTCCTGTATGACCCATAGCCACTCTATGAACAACAGATCTGAACCCTATCCAATCCTGTGCCATCCTTATCATCTCTGACACGCTTAATCTCATTGCTGCAGTTCACTGTGTCAATCCATCTTGTTGAGGGTCTTCCTTTTTTTTACTGACCCTCAGACCTTTTCAAGTATATTGCTTTCCGAAGAATTGCCTCTCCTATCAACATGCCCAAGATATGTGAGGAGTTTTGCCATTCTTGCTTTAAAGGAGCACTTGGACTGTACTTTTCCCAAGACATATCTGTTTTGTTGTTTTAAATTTTGTTTTGTTAGTCCATGGGATATTCAGTGCTCTTCTCCAAGACCACAAGTCAAAGGCATTCATTCTTCTTCTGTAATCCTTATTCATAGTCCAGCTCTCAGATGCATACCAAGGGATTGAAAATACCATGGCCTGAATCAAGCAGACTTTAGTCTTCAAAAGGAAACCACTTTTAAGTAATTTAGAAAGATCCTTGACAGTGGATTTGCCCAATGCAATATGTCTCCTGAACTTTCAACTCATTGGTACCAAGGGTGTTGACAAAAATCCAAGTAAGATGAAATCATTGGCCATTTCAACCTTTTCTCCATCTATCATGATGTTGCTTATTGGTCCAGTGGTTAGGATTTTTGTCTTCTTGATGTTGAGATGCAATTCATTTTGAAGGCTGTAGTCTGATTCTCTGCATTAAGTGTTTCAAGTCCTCCTTACTTTCAGCAAGCAAGGTTGTGTCATTTGTATAGTGAAGGTTGTTGATGAGCCTTCACCCACTCCTGATGTTTTTCTTCATAGAGTGCAGCTTCTTTAATAATAATTTGCTCAGCATATAGCTTGAATAGATATGAAGGATACAAATCTGACATACACCTTTTTAAATATTAAGCCATGCAGTGTTCCTTTCCTCCATTTGGACAACAGCTTCTTGATCTAAATATAGGTTTCACATGAGCACAATTAAGTGTTCTGGGATTTCCATTCTTCTCAATATTAGCCATAGTTTGTTATGATTCATATAGTCAAATGCCTTTGCAGAGTCAATAAACATACATAGACATTCTTCTGATATTCTCTGCTTTCAGCCAGGATCCATCTGACATCAGCACTGGAGCCATCACCTCCTATAAAGCCAGCTTGATGTTCTAGCTGGTTTTGAATGGTCTTCAGAAATATTTTGTTTACATGTGATATTAATGATATTGTTTTAGAATTTCCACATTGTGTTAGGTGACCTTTCTTAGGAATGGGAACAAAATGGATTTCTTCTGGTCAGTTGGCCAGATAGCTCTCTTCCAAGTTTCTTGGCATAGACTGGTGAGCACATCTAGGGCTGCATCTGTCAACATCTTCATTACCAGTGACTTTTGTTCATATAGTACTTCCTGAAATTTTTCAGTATCAACCAGTTCTTTTTGGAACATATTCTTTTCTACATATTTTCTTCCTTTTTTATTATCCAACTCTAGCTCTTAGGACATTTTGATGTTGAGACGTAATACAAACTGAAGCAAAGTATTGTAAAGAAACATG